TAGCCGGGGGTGGGGGGGGTGGTTGGGGTGAGGGGGGGTGGGGAAAAGGGGTTTGGGGGGTGGGAGGGGTGGTGGGGGTGGTAGGGGGGGTTTGGGGGTGGGGGGGGTGGTGGGGGGTGGTGAGGGATGACCGGGGTGCCCGGGGGGTTTTGACCAGGGGTGGTGAGGGAAAGCCGGGTGGGTGGGGGGGGGGAGGGGGGGGGGATGGTGAGGGGCGATGGGGGGGTGGTGGGGGGTGTTCAAGGGTGGTGAGAGGTGGTGAGGGGTGGGAGGGGTGGTGAGGGTGGTGAGGAGGGGGTGAGGGGTGTGAGGGTGGACACGGGGTTAAAGAAAAAAAATTTTAAACCCTTCCCTAACTTTTGGAATTGCCCCCCCCTCACTCGGGGATATTTCTCCCTCTAAACTAGATCCCCCTCCCTCACTCTGGATACCCTCCTAAATCTGGAAACCCCCCCTTTTCACTCTGGAAAAACCCTCCCTCAACCCCGGGAAACCCCCCCTAAATTCTGGATCCCTCCCTCACTTGGTACCCCCCCTCACTCTGGATCCCCTCCCTCAATCTGGATACTCTCCCCCCTTTCTGGTTTCCCCTCCCCCCCTCTGGTTTACCCCCCCTCAATCTGGATACTCTCCCTAAATTCTGGTTTCCCCTCTCCCCCCCCCAAACCAGGATACCCTCCCCACCCCGGGTTTCCCCTTTCCCTCATTCTGGAGGTTTGTTTATTTTCCTCAGGGGTAAAATTGGGGAAGGTATGTATCCTACAGTATATATATATATTTATATAAAATATATAAATATAAATATTTTATATATAATATATATTATATATATATAAAATATATATATATAATATATATATATATATATATATATATTTATTTTTTGTAATTTTAAGGGGCCCCTCATCCTCAAAAAAAGGAATAAATTTTGCTTAAAGGGGAAAATTTAAAGGTTCTCCCTGAAGCTGTTTGAGAATTTTCTCCTACCACCCCCTATATTTCAGGTATGTTTTATTTAAAGACAAAATACATTGGCCAAACATTCACAAAAATACATCAGAAAGTAAAACAACATAGGTAACTCAGAGCTACATCTCGAATACTTCGTCCAGCTCCCCGGCGGTGGGCCACGTGCCCAGAATGCTGCAGGCATTTACACTCTGGATCGCAACACTGAGTCTCTGAAAGAGGAAGCTGGTCGCCCTGTGGTCCTTGGTTTCTATGTTGAGCTTTTCACCCAGCTCTTTGAGGAACTTTAGAGCACACTTGCCCCATGCTCCAAGGGTCTCCGACCCTATTGGAATGAAAGGAAAGGTGTGTATATCTCTCAGTATATTTTAATTCCTCTTTTTTTTTTAAGTATTCTTGACTTGTGGTGAACAGGTGACATACTGCCTTAATGACCCTCGTGTAGTAGACAAGCTTCCAACCCAAACTAAGCAACAAATCAAACATTATCTTGCTTAATTGCTAACCCATCACCCAGATTGCCCAACTCACTGCCCTACCAGTAACACCCATTCACAAACGCAGAAAGTAACGCAAACTTCAAAAGCGATTATAATCGGGTTAGGTTAGGTTAAGTTAGGTTAGGTAAGGTTAGGTTACGTTACGTTACGTTAGGTTAAGTTAGGTTAGATTAGGTTAAGTTAGGTTAGGTTAGGTTAGGTTAAGTTAGGTTGGGTTAGGTTAGGTTAAGTTAGTTTAGGTTAGGTTAGGTTATGTTAGGTCAGATGACCCAAAGCTGGAGCTTTGAGTCATCTGACCGAGGCCTTCCACTGGCTTACCCCTCCACCCCCTTAAAAATTAAGGTTATAATTACAACCATCTGGTAATAACCACCCCTGGTAATCACCCCTAGCGATGAATCCCTGGGATTTAAACACAGGCGAGGGTCAATAGCCTTAGCAAACACAGCCGTGGTAGGTGATTCATCACAGCGTTAACAGCGACACTATTTGTCTCACTAAACCACGACGCTGGTGAATTATCCAGCAGGAATCCGATCAATCCGAGTGATGGATTTGCGTTCACGTTGGTCGTAGCTGACGAGCCAAACCGGATTTTCTGTCTTCCGCCTGTCTGTCTGTCTCTCTGTCTCTGTCTCTCTCTGTCGTTTTTACACAAGGTTCTTACAAGGTAATACCTGTTGTCTAAATCTCTCTCTCTCTCTCTCTCTCTCTCTCTCTCTCTCTCTCTCTCTCTCTTTCTCAAATTAAAGTTTGGAAGTAAAGTTCTGCTTTAACATGAGTATTGAGACCCACATTAGAGACAGCACCAACGTCGGAATATTGAGTTAGAAGTTTGAGTCAAAGAAAATCAAGTTGTATTATGTATGAGACTTGAAACTTTAATGTATGTTGAGAAGCCACGTTTGTGATTGTGGTGTGTGTGTGTGGTGTGTGTGTGTGTGTGTGTGTGTTGTGGGGTGTGTGTGTGTGTGTGTGTGTGTGTGTGTGTGTGTGTGTTGTGTGGTGTTTGTGTGTGTGTAGTGTGTGTGTACTCACCTAGTTGTACTCACCTAGTTGAGGTTGCGGGTCGAGTCCGAGCTCCTGGCCCCGCCTCTTCACTGATCGCTACTAGGTCACTC